AGCTAAAAAAAAATTAGGGAACTACATAGACCATGATCCTTTGCTCCATTTCAGTGCAGACTACAAGAAGAAATAACAATTCTAAGCACTTTTAAGTCTTAATTCTTTGGATTTGGAAGTCTTGTCAAGACATTTTAAAAACAAAAAAAGGAAAAAGTAACATATTAACAGTTTTAGCTGTTTAGCCAACACAAAATATCGCAATAAATATCGTACCATGAGATGTATATCGTGAAAATATTGTACCAAGAGATCTGGATATTGTTACATCTCTAACCGTGAACCTCCACACCATATCGTGATCTTTCCCACGATATTGAAATAAATATCGTACCGTGAGGTTCATACCGTGACGATATCGTATCATGAGACTTGGATGTCGTTACACCCTTAAGATTTATAAGTCTTCAGTATTCAGTGTGTTCACCAACAGCAGGAGTAGTGCCCTCTGCTGGTATTTAAAACACACAGATTAAATGTTTTCCTACACTGTTTATACAATTTGAAAGTATTCAGGGGTGAGTAAAGTAGCCAAATATTAAGAAAAAATAGTGTTACTAATGTTAAACATGCACTAAAAGGCCAAAATAAGGTCAGAGATAGGTATATATTTCTATTTTAGACCAATTTACATGGTTAATCAGTAAAAAAAATAAAGTCATTTTGGTGTTTAGTGACCCTTTAAAATGACACTTAAATTAGAATTAAAGAATTAAAGGTGCAGTGTCAGAAAGTTACTGTATAATTCGTGAGTAGATTACTCAAGTAAATCTGAAAAAGTGAGTACTAAGCACCTCTGAAAGTTTAAAAGTGTTTAATCCACATGGCATGACATTTAGGAAGATCCTGAAAAAGAGAGAGAAGAGAGAAGAGAGGGAGGGAGGAGATAAAGAGAGAGGAGAGAGTGAGAGAGAGAGAGAGAGAGGGGGGGGGGGGGTGAAGGAGGGACAGAGAGATGAGGGGGTAAAGAGAGAGAGAAAGAGAAAGAAAGGGAAGGAGAGAAGGAGAAAGAGAGAGAAAGAGAGGAAGGGAGAGAGAGAGGAAGAGAGGACGGCAGAGAGAGAGAGAGGGGGGTGTGAGAGAAAGAGGAGAGGGAGAGAGGGAGAGAGAGGGGGGAGGGAGAGACAGACAGAAAAAGAAATAGAGAAGGAAAGAGGGAGCGATGGAGAGAGAAAGAGGGAGAGAGAAAGAGACATAGGGGGGAGAGAGCGAGAAGGGGGGAGACAGAGAGAGAGAGAGAAAGAGAAGGAAAAAGACACACAGACAAAACAGAGAAAAGATGAGAGTGAGAGAGAAGAAGGTGAGAGAGAGGGAGGAAGAGAGAGAGCGAGAGAGGGGGGCAGAGGGGGGGTATGAGAAAGAGGGGGAAAGAGGGAGAGACAGAGAGAAAAAGAAAGAGAGAAAGAGAGAGAGGGAGAGAGACAGAGGGGGAGAGAGAGAGAGAGGGGGAGGAGGGAGGGAGAGACAGAAAAAGAAATAGATAAAGGAAAGAGGGAGAGATGGAGAGAGAAAGAGGGAGAGAGAAAGAGACATGGAGGAGAGAGAGAGGGAGAGACAGAAAGAAAGAGAGACACAGAGAGGGAGGGGGGCAGCGAGAGAGAAAGAGAAGGAAAAAGACAGAAATAGGGATAAAAAGAGAGAGAGACACACACAGACAAAGACAGAGAAAAGATGAGAGTGAGAGAGAGGGAGAGAGAAGAGGGTGAGAGAGTGAAACAGAAACAGAGAGAAAAGAGAGAGAGAAAGCGAAAGACATAGAAAGAGAAGAGAAAGAGGGAGAGAGGGAAAGAGGAGAGACAGAGGGAGGGAGGAAGAGAGAGAGAAGAGAGAGAGAGAAAGAGGGGGGCAGAGAGAGAGAGAGATTGGGGTATGAGAAAGAGGGAGAGCCAGAGAGCAAAAGAGAGAGAGATGGGAGAGGAAACAGAGAAAAGATGAGAGTAAGTGAGAGAGACAGAGAGAGAGAGAGAGAGAGAGAGAGAGAGAGAAAAGAGGGTGAGAGAGAGAGAGACACACACAGACAGAGAAAAGAGAGAGAGAAAGAGAAAGAGATAGAGAGAGAAGAGGAAGAGAGAGAGAGGGAGACAGAGATAGAGAGGGAGAGAGAGAAGAGGGAGAGAGAGAGAGGAAAAGAGGAAAAGAGAGAGAGAAGGAGGGAGAGAAAGGGGGGGCAGACAGAGAGAAAGAGAGGGGGTGTGAGAGACAGGGGGAAAGGAGAGACAGAGAGAGAAAGAGAGAGAGAGAAGAGAGAGAGAAAGAGAGGGAGAGACAGAGAGTGAGACACACACAGAGAGACAGAGAGAAATGAGAGAGAGAGAGAGAGAGTGTGAGAAAGACATAGAAAGAGAAGAGGAAGAGCGAGAGAGAAAGCGATAGAGAGAGAGAGAGATAAAATATTGATGTTGACTACATTCGAGAGAAAAAGATTAGAACATCTGATGCATTTTAGTTCTGATACATTTAAAGCCGGAGCTTGAGTGGTGCTGAAGAGTCAAACTGTTTTTGGTCCATAAGAGCCATAAGCATCGGGGATTATCCAGTATAGATTTGACTCCATCTGATTTAAAGTGCACTACGTAACTTTTCTGGAGAGATGTGCTGCTCGTCAACGTGGAGATTGCTTTTACTGAAATGTGACACAGAAAGGCAATAACTCCACTCTCTCACGGCGTTTTTAGTGCCAAAAATATGTTACTGTGACCCAACTTGCCTCTCCACAGATCTGACCTGTCACTCGGCCCTGTCACATCACCTGCTCGTTCGCCGTGGCAAAGCGAAAGCACGTTTCCATGGAGACAAGCAGGTGGCCGACTCTTCGCTAAAATGACACCTTTAGATGTAAGTTTTGATATGTAAAGTAGCGGTTTACAGTCTGTAATTTAGAAATAACATTTTTTTTTTTCACTTTGCATTTGCTTTGACACGTCAGTACTTAAATACATGTTCTCTGTGCAGTTACCAGTCAAATGTCTGGACACGCCCACTCATTTAGTGTCTTTTTATTTTATTTATTTTTAGTACTTTCTACATTTTAGAAAGATACGGAAGAAGACATCAAATTTATGAAGCAAAAAACATTAAATAAATATTTTTTTGGCAAAGCAAAGGGTGGTTACTTTGAGGAATTGAATATAATATATCTAAAAAGTAGTTATTTGACTTTTTTCTTTGCTAGATAATTCCATATATCTTCATAACAGGCCCGGCGACAGAAATGTGGAGGCCCGGGGCAAGAAGCCTCACTCGGGCCCCCCTCAAAAATTAATTAATAGGCAGAGGTTCCCGTTTTGAGCCTACAGAGACAACAACAAACCCCTATCAACTCTCCTGCTTCAGACTGTATATTTAATGTGTTCTGTATGTATAAAAAATGTAGAAAGTAGTAAAAAAAATAAAAAAAATAAAATAAAAAATAATAATAATAATAATAATAATAATAAAAAAAAAAAAAAAAAAAAAATGATGGTGGATCCCAATTAGACTTAGACAAACCTTATCGATCCACAAGGGAAATTATTTGGACACAAATAATCTCACCCATCCCAATATAATAATAAATCCAAGGTTGTAGGTTTGCATAGGGACGGTGGGGACATGTAACAACCAATATTTGCCATTTTATTTTAATAAACAAAAAATATAAATCTCTTCTGACATTTTTCCAAACTCAATAGTATTAATTTAACACGTTTTAGCTCACATTTAGTTTATTAGATGTTCTGAGATGTATTCAGTGATATGAAGACAGGGTTACTCATCAGTTGTGCCAGGAGCCTAAACTGAGGAAGCAGCAGGACAAGGCCAGCACCCAAAGATGGCATCTTGAGCAGATGTGAGTGAAGACGCTGCACACCAAATTTTGAAAAACTTTTCAAAAGGAACTTACTCGGCTTCATCTTCAATTAAACTTGCCTTATAAATGAGTCGCCGTGTAAAAAGAGCCACTATCACCACAAGTGCACCTCCCAAACAGAGCCCTACTCGTGCGCTGTTAGGAGCCTGACTCTATTGACAATATTCCATGGAAAAATGTACGGACATGACCTCACAAATATCTCATAAGGGAAATCTGCTACAAACTTCTACATCGCTGTTATCCGGTAAAGCAACCTACAATTAAGTACAAATGGGGGGCTGATAATGTCCCCACCAAAGCTGAGACCTAACCTACGCCCTTGAACAAAAATCAAAAATATTAATAATACAAAAAAATCTAAATAAGAAGCAAAAACAGCAAGAGAATGGTGTCAGATAAGTCATCATTTCTACATTTTCAGGACTAAAACACACATGCAGTGGCGCAAACAGACGCTACGGGCTCAGAGCTGCGCAGAGGAGCAGCTCGTATGACCCCGGGCTGCACAGACTCCGCGGATGGAGAGCGAGAGTGCGAGGATCTCCTCCTCCACGGGTCCCTCCAGCACTTATGTTCATATACATTAATTATCTAGAGCCTTATACCGGTCCTAATAAAACAGCATGCCTGAGAGCTTTATCATTTACATCACATTTGCATTAGGAAAGACAGATTGAAACATACTTATGGGCTATTCTGCATAATATAACGAAGCTTACTTAATTTATTCTATTCCAGTCGGTCAATATTGTGAGGAATAGCATGCAAAGTGGGCTATTAAGTTTAGTTAAGACGATAAATAAGGGAATAAGCTATGCAAGAAAAAGTCAACAGATGGAAAGAAACAACCGGTTGCAAGAGCTGTTATAGATTTAAAGTTTTAGCCTAAGTTTTAAATTCGTTTATGTACAAACTAGGCAACGATTAAAATACCCAGAAATCACGTTCAACTTAAAATCTAATCTCGTTTTTCTCCGCCGGCTGCAATAACAGATAAGAATGCGACCACATTACGCACGAGAGCTCGCGTATCCTATTTTCTAACCCCGCCGGCGTCCACGCGCGTCCACGCAACCATCACGCAACATGCAACCGCGTCAAAGTCACGGATTTGCCGAAAAAGAGAAAGAGAGAAAGCGTCCCTTACCGATCAGACGTGCATCGCGTCGCCCCGCCAGCCTGCCTGCCTTTGTGGAGCGCATGTGGATTCGGTTTTTTTTTCTGTGCGCGGAGAGAGAAAGAGAGAGATGATGATGAGGAGGAGGAGGAGAGAGAGAGAGAGAGGGAGGAGGGGGAAAGCGTACAGCGTGCCCGTGCCGCCGGTGACAGCAGCCGGAGTGGATTCAAAGCAGATGAGGCCGGGCTGAAGAGCAGAGAGAGAGTGGAGAGGAGAGGAGAGACTGCTGGACACGGTGCGCAGGGAAAGAAGAAGAAGAAGAGAGGGAGAAAGAAAGAAAGCAGGTCCCGGAGCCCCACTGCAGATTGGATGGGAGATGCCCCTGCGCGGATTACACGTGTTGATGCTGTTGGCTGCGTTGACTCCGTGTTTACGCACCCTGTTATTTGGTAGTCATATGTGATCTGGACTGGCCCACAAGGAATAGATAGATCAGGGAAGAGACTAGACCTGCTTATACAGTCAGTAAAATGGATGGAAACACATTTAAAGTTTAGTACTGGTTTAGTCTATCATTTTTGGAGCAATACAAAACACAAAAACAAAACAAAACAAAACATAGACTACAACCCCATGGATCATGACCAGAAAGGGTTTAGGCTGCAGAGGTGGGGAGTTGTAATTCGTGACTTGGACTTGAGTCAGACCTGAATCACTATTTTTAGGACTTGAGACTTGATAAAATGGACTAAGACTTGGGGCTCGACTTGGAATTGAGAAGCACTTTTAAATCTGAATTCGTTCCATTCTGACCGTAAAGATTCACTCTAAGATCTTGAACAAAAACATTAAACATTAAAAAAACCAAACCAAAAAAAAAAAAAAAAAATCTAAATTCATTTCTACAACTCTTATACACTATAAATACTCATATATAAATATACTATGACTAATACAGGTACAATTTATCTTAAAATTCATATAAATTGCAAAAATCTAAGCTATATTTGGTACTTTAAGACTGGTTTAAAGACTTGAAATGACTCGAAGTTCAAAGCAGACAACTTGGACTTGACTTGGTCTTACGGGCCAGTGACTCGAGACTCGACTTGGACTTGCCTGTATTTGACCTGGGACTTGATTCGGACTTGAGGTCAAAGACTTGAGATTCACTTGAGAGTTGCAAAACAAAAAATTTGTTCCACCTCTTTTAGGCTGAAGTAAAAGTACTTATAACGTCAAACCCTACTAAACAATGACAGAATTCCAAGAAATAAAAGCAGTGTATGAACAGCAAGTTTGCATTTATAATTTCACTTATGACTCACTGTATATATAAGAGACAAAATATAAATTAAAACAAAATTTAATGCATAATTCATTCAGTCCAGAGCTCTATATCTTTCAAAACATAACGCTTATACTCTTTTTTCTTTTCAAGGCTTCTACAGTGTTAGACTTTTTCATTTTTTAAATCAGCACTCAGGTTGTTCCATAAACAAACCAATCTAATACTTTTTTTTTTTTTGTTCAAGGTAAAGTACATTAGCTTGATTCAACAGCCGGTTTCACTTCGTGGAACCATAGGTGGGTACTTTTTAAAATTTAACCAATCGCTGCTATTTGGTCGTGACGTATGTAATGCGTCAATAACAGGGCTGACAGGTATATTAAGCTTTTCCCAAATCCCATGGGAAGAAGGGCAATAACGTCTTTTCCCTTGATAAAATTCACCAAACATTCTCTTTGTTCCGGTTTTAAATCCTCGATCTCGGGAATCCTTGCCAACACAGAATGTATGGCTCTTCGCTGATTGGCTGGTGCCCGAACTCGCATTTCTGGAGGTTCTTGCAAAACCGTCTAGTGTATTCCCATTCATGAACTAATCGCTGGAGAGAAATGAAATTGAGTGGAGGCACTAGGTGGCATCAGTGTGACTAAAAGTACACTTTACCTTGAACTAAAAAGTAGATATAAACTCACTAATTTCCTCAAAAGCAATCGATTTATATAAGTCCGAACCAGTTTTATAAGTATCTTAAAGGACCCATATTATGTTTTTTTTTCCTGATGTTGTAATGCTGTTTCCTCATCAAAAACAGACGTGGAGTTATGTTTCGTTTCATTCACACATGTTCAAGACACAAACCCTGCCTATTCTGCATGTTCTCCTCTCAAACAAAACACTGACACTTTGTGATGTCATGTGGTAATACAGAAAGTGCTCCACTGTGTTTTTAAACTCCATACACCTTCACTAGAATCATTTGGATAATTTGGACTCTGGAATTGGCTCTCTTTACTGAACGAAAAGTAAAAGGTAGACATTGCAAGGTCGAGCTGAGCATTTGGAGATGTAGACAGACTAACAATTAAACATTACTGAAATTACTGAGAGTGTGAATGAAATAAAACACCACTCCGGGTGTGTTTTTGTTGAGATAATAGCATTCTAACATGATTTAACGCCTACAAGAGTCAGTTTTGTGTAATATAGGACCTTAAAAGCCAAATACAAACACATTATTGTAGTATTATTATTTAGTACACGCTGTATTAACTGTATTGGAGACGTTAGGGTGCTGTGTTACTTCAGCCCACTCAGATCTAAGCAGCTGACTGGCTCCTCCTCCTGCCTCATGTGAAGCAAATGATAAAAGATGAACATACATAAAAAGAGATTTGATTTGAACCATCGAGCACCGTAATTGCACGGATCTTTTTCTCCCATATTCAACCACCTATAGCCTCCACATTGCCATATCTATCCACTGACAGACCTTATAATTAGGAAAGGAAACACAGGAGCCTTTATGCGTGACCAGCGAGTTGCACGGTGTTCGAAATGTAATATGAAGGTATGCTTTATTATTACAGTCTCGTGGACAGGTTTCATTGGGTCCATTCAAGCATCAACAATCATTTCACAGCACACCAGGACCACCACGGACCACAGCGTCGATCAGTGCGCGCGTGTGTGCGTGTGGAGCTGTCATCTCTCTACGGGGATCTGCTCAAATAGAGATACAGAAACAACAATGGCACCAACACGTAGGGCTTCAAATCGCAATGACACAACCAGGTCTATTTTCGCCTCTATGCTCCCAGGAAAACCGCCATCATCTCTTTCGTGTGTGGTCCGCCATCTTGGACGGATAGGGGCCCATATCACAGCGCCCCGGGGGGTTACTGCAGGGTCAGAATTAGCCCCTGACAGCTCCATTACTCCTGTGAATGGGACTGGTTCTGTGGTCTTTCAGATTTATGGCGCGGGCTGTGGCGTGCGTACTCCCATGTGTTTGAAAAGGGCTTCCGAGAGATTTACAAAGAAACAATGCATCCCCCCGGTTATGGTTTATGTTTTTACAATATGTTTGACAGTTGGTGGAGCATGAAAAAAAAGACAGAATCGTGGCTCTTTAAGTATGATTCAGAATTGGAGGAGGTTTCAAAATAGAACTGGCATTACTTATATTGGAATATGATTTGTCTTTTACAGTTTGCCAAAGCAATGCCATAAAAAAACACACTATTTATACTAGAAAATAGTAAGTATTTCTTGAGAAAACCCATGCCCATACCCGGGGGTACACCGTCCACCCACTTCTCTCGACATGAGATATAAAAAAACAAAAAACAAATATAAAATAGCTACAACTTAAATGTCAAACTGGAGATTTTGGAAATGGTGAAAACAACCTCATGATATCTGCAGGACGATTCTATAGTGACCTATGACATGAGGGACCAGGACTGAACCAGGACTGAACTAGGACTCAACCAGGGCTCAACCAGTACTAAAACAGGACTTAAACAGGACTAAAACAGGACTAAAACAGGACTAAACCAGAACTGAACCAGGACTGAATGTTGGGGTGGGCCCGGAGGTGTGGCCGCATAGGACTCTGTACGCCACGGAGCTAAGCACAGTTGTTGCCCAATCTCTCAAGTCCAAGATTAGTCCTGGTTTAGTCCTGGTGTAGTCCTGGTTTAGACCTGGTTTAGTCCTGGTTTACTTCTGTTTTAATCCTTGTTCAGTTCTGGTTTAGTCCTGGTTTACTCCTGGTATAGTCCTAGTTTAGTCCTGGTTCAGTCCTGTTTTTTTCCTGGTTTAGTCCTGTTTTAGTTCTGTTTTAGTCCTGGTTTAGACCTGGTTTAGTCCTGTTTTAGTTCTGTTTTAGTCCTGGTTTAGTCCTGGTTTAGGCCTGTTTTAGTTCTGTTTTAGTCCTGGTTTAGTCCTGGTTTAGTTCTGTTTATGTCCTGGTTTAGTTCTGGTTTAGTCCTGGTTTAGTACTGTTTATGTCCTGATTTACGTCCTGGTTTAGTTCTGGTTTAGGTCTGTTTTAGTTCTGTTTTAGTCCTGTTTTAGTCCTGGTGTAGTCCTGGTTTAGACTTGGTTTAGTCCTGTTTTAGTTCTGTTTTAGTCCTGGGTTAGACTTGGTTTTGTCCTGTTTTAGTTCTGTTTTAGTCCTAGTTTGGTCCTGATTTAGTCCTGGTTCAGACCTGATTAGTCCTGTTTTAGTCCTGGTTCAGTCCTGGTTTAGTCCTAGTTTAATCCTAGTTTAATCCTGGTTCATAAAAAAAAAAAAAAAAACAAAAAAAACATCAGGTATTACTGATTTTTATTTGGCTGGCACCTTTATGTTTGTACTGAAAGTGATTTTTTTCCCCTTTAAATAAACTAACAATCTATATGACACCTGTGTGTATTTCGGCATGTCAAGTTGAGGTATGAATCGCCTCCACTTAAAAAATCCCCACTACACCACTGAATATTAGAACGGTGGGAAAAAAAGTGATGGAGTATTTGTCCACAGACCTCAAGGTCTTAACATAAACATCATTGGTTGAGCATTTAAACCCACTGACCCACAGGTTGGCGATGCGATTCCAGCTCCCACAGATGAATGCTGTCATTGTGTTGTGTCCTTGGGCAAAACACCCACCTCGTCCCCAGCGTCTGCGTACATTGGTGTGTGAGTGTGCGTGTGAATTGGTGAGCGGCTTCTTGATGTAAAGCGCCTTGAAGAGCGCCTTGAAGGTGGAAACGCGCTATATAAAA